TCCTTCTCACCCTTTTCCTGCTTATCCTCCTCACCCCTGGCCAGAACGGCCTTCTCGAGCGTCTGCGCCCGCTCTGCACGCCCTCGCCGATGAAGGTCGCCTAGCTGAACAGCGCGTCGATCTACCAAGCCCAGGGGAATCGCATTCGTCCTCAATATCCCCCTGACGGTTACGCTGTTCATCCTAATCCCCATCTCCCCCCTCGCCTCGTCATCATCATCCGAACCATCGGCATCGCCGACATCATCGGCATCATAATCGTAATCACCATCATCATCATCATCATGATCGGTGTACCGTTTCTTTTTTTTTTTTTTCCAGGCACCCCGCTTCCCCTCCCCTCATTAGTCGCAGTGTCCGTTGCGCCGCCACCACTTCCCCACCTCATCCGCATCGTCATTCTCCTCGCCCTTCTCCTTCTCGCAATTCTCCGCTTCCCCGCTCCGCTTCCCCATATCCCTGTTCATCCCGCGATCGCCATCGCCCGCCACGCACGTTGCCAAGGGGCGAGGTGGGGGGGAAGAGCGAGAGAGAGCGAGAGAGGCAGGAAAACAATGAGAAAGAGCGAGAAGATGAGATAGGGAGGGAGGGACACCGCGCGAGGTCGAGAGCATAAGAAGGATGGACATAATTAGGCATACTCGGGGAGAGGGGGAGGCCCGAGCAAAGGGCACACAGCGAGCGAGAGAATCATGAGAGACAACGCGTGCCCAACAATGCGCATGCTAAGCACTGGTTCGAGCACAGATGCAGCGCAACGGGCCGCGAAGTTCGACCATATACTGTGGTTTCAGACTGGGTAGCCCGCCAAACTGCAACGAAACCTTTCTTCGGGACGCGGTCGGGGGGGGGGGGTGCAAACTGGAAGGGGCGGAGGCACGTGGAAACGGCACGCAGTGGGGGCAAGGAAGGGGTGGGAGAACAAGCAAGGCAGCGGAAGTCGTGGACAATGCTGCCCTCCCGCCCCACCGCTTCCCTCTTCTTGGCCGCCTTGTCGGTGACCGAAGAAGAAGCCGCGTTCCTGCTGCCCTTCCCGCTCTGCTTGGCCTTGGGTTTGGCCTTCGGCTTCATGATCTTGCCAGTGCCCTTCGACCCCAAGGCGCCCCCAGAGTCCATCGCGCTCTTCAGCAGCTCCTTGGCCTTCTTGTCCAGCCACTCCTTCTCCTCGGGCCCCAGGAGCCAGACCCAGCTGAAGGGGCCGTTCAAGTCCTCGTACTCCACGTCCTGCAGCGGCCCGCGCACGCGGAAGGGGGCCAGAGCGCCAACGGAGCGCAATCCGTCGGCAGAATGGGTCACCGAGGGAACCCGTCGACCATGCGCACATTGGGCTCTCTGGGAAGATTTGAATGCATCGGGCGACGGGGCGAGCGCCAACGCTGCACAGCCAATGACGACGGCGCAAGAGCAAACTTGCAAGTGCTGGGGCGAAACAATGATGAAATTGAGAGGGATCAGGGGAGCGAGAACCGCAGCGGCACCACACACGGAACACGCTCCACACACTAACACACGCGCACGAATACACACAGAGACACGGCGACGACGACGATACTGATGTAAAACCCATCCTTGTTCGCCTGGAGGGCCTCCACGATCAGCTTCGCCGCAGGCGCGCCTCTGGGGGGAGAGGCGAAGCTGCTGCGAGTCGATCGTGCTCGAAGACTCGCGGAAATGCCTGACCCCGCATTTCGCGGCCTTGACGGGAGGAAAAACCTGGAACGGAGAGAGGAAGCATTGGCCAAGGCCGACGGTGCAGACCGACGACTGCGACCCATGAGCAAAAA